TACCTTCATGCTCGCTGTATTTTTCCAGTCACACAGGCTCAGATCATGAGAGCTGTATTCTAGTTTTTATTTCTTCCTTCCTGTCTGCAAACCAATAATCCAGCTCTAATGAATCAAGCTCAAAAAACTTTTTCATATTCATACGTGGGGTTTGATTTTCTATTTTAAAACTCTTATTTTTAAACTGTCATTTCAGTTATTGTAGCACTCTATTAACTAGTCTTTCGGTAGTCAATCTGTTCCCATAAAGCTTACACATGACCATAAAACATCACAAAAATCTTTAACGCACGTTGCAATTTATATAAAAAATACCTAAGCTGCTTCTTAGAACATTGATTATTATCAATTATTATCAATAATCTGCCCTCTTTCTGTAGGACAAATTTGCCCACCACTACACCTCTCCATGTACTTCATTCATACCAGATTCCAAAGTGTGGCCAGAAAATGCATTCACATTTCTAAAGTTTCATTTACATGATATGCAAAATGGTCTCATCATAGCAGTTTCTCCTGCTGAAAAACATCCTTTCAGGCCAAGTTCAAATGCCACTTTTATTAAGAAATTTTGTCCTATCCTTCAGCAGATACTGTTCCATTAGCTGGACCTAATCTCTTTCTTCCCTGACACTCAAAATGTTATATTGTGGTATTGTGGCACCTAACCCAGTATAGTTCTATTTTGTGTGTCTCCCTTACTATATCACAAGATTGGTACAGTCAGTGCCTGCTTCTTATATCTTTTTTTTATCCTGAATATTACCTAGTACCACATCAAGTACCTATGTGCTTTTAAGCTTACTGTTGAAACATGACTGATTGAATAAATGAATGATCAAACAGTTGATCATCCATAAATGTTACTATCAAGTAGTAAAATTCTATGACAAGTACTTAGATAAAATCTTCTGATATTTACTTTAAAAACAAGGGAATAGTTACAATACTTTCATTTTTTTACAATACTTTAAAGCCATTTATTGTGTGATTACAGGAAAAATAATTTGAAAATGACAGATTTTCTCATTTACAAGCTTATTACAATAGTGACTGAGTTCTTTCTATGAAAGAAAACATATTATTTCTATTTGATTGTCATGTCTGTTGGCTCCTTATCATATTTCCTTTCATAATCAAAGGAAGAAAGACAAATTAAAAGGCATACCCAGGGCATAATCATGAATGCTGCAGGCTTAGTGACCTCTATTTGTGGACAAAAAATGTTTCTCTAGCAGACCAAGAGGAAAATTTCCTCAGAGCATCATTCCATTTAGTATGTCACTTAGCTTTTGCAGTCAGTAGAAACATACATTCAAATGCTTAAGAAACAATTGCAAGAGCATAATAATATTTTATTTATTTAGGAACCTAGGCTCTTTTTTTTAAGATTTTATTTATTTGAAAGAGAGAGAGTGCAAGTGGTGGGGAGAGCAGAGGGCGACGGAGAGGAAGGGGGAAAGAATCTCAGGCAGACCCCAGGTTGAGCATGGAGCACAGGGGCAGGGCTCGATCTCAGGCCCCTGGGATCATGATCTGAGCCAAAACCAAGAGTTAGTGGCTTAACCTATTGAGCCACCCACGTGCCCCTAGGAACCCAGGTTTTAAAATTACTTCCTTGCATCTATCTAATGCCTTTTTGTGATTGTAATTGTTTTTAGTTTTGCATGCAAAAGGTCATACCTGTGAACTGTCACATTTCAGCTCCATGTGCCATTAGATTGGCACTTGTTATTTACCCACAAAATAACTAGAAGTGTTAGTTTGACATTTTGTCATTAATATATCTATTTTTTAAAAGAATTATGTCATGTACATAATATTTTAATTTTTCAGTTGCATAGTGTTAACTCATTTTGCTTAAAAGGAAGTGATAAGTAATTTGGATCTAAATGATTTACTTAATTGTGAATGCCTAGGAATTTCTATATTTCTTCCATTGCCAAGAAAGAGAATTTTACCACTGTCTTTATGTTAGGTTAAGCTTAAATATTTTCCTATCAGAAGACATTAAGTTACTTCAGCTAAAGAAATTAGAGATGTCAAAGGCAATTACGCTATTCAATTGATCTTCTAGGGTAGGATTATGTTTAATTGGGCATCTAACTGTAGGTAACCCAAACACCCAATTTATTGGTTAAACTCCTCCTAAATTACATTTCAGAAAATGTAAAGCAAGTGCCCAGACCTTTGAATTAAATTAAAAAACTGCAGAAAACTTTGCAAAAACAGACCCACAACGTCATCCCTCCTAAGTATCTCAGAAACAGCCTCTTACAAGGATGTAGTCAGCTTGCAACTCCTCACGATAATATTCAAGCAGATAGATCAGTTGGAAGCTCTTCATTACGGCAGCTGTTGTGTGTTTATAGCTACATATGCAGACTGCCGAACACCCTCAGTGCACCATAAACGTAGGAATTACACATCCAGAATGGTAATAAACTCATTGGGTGACGTGCTCTCCAGAGTTTTCAGCCCCTTTGCTCCAGTTGGCAAAACTCTGCTAGATTTTAGTTGCTGTAGAAAAATATTAGATTGTTGTGGTTTTTGTAAGTTTGGAGACAAACCAGAAACATATAAAACAGCAATAAAAAAGGTAAAAACATAGGCACTGAGATTATTATTATTTTAAAATTACAGTCTCATAGAGAGTTATAAGAGAAGCCACAGAAGAATAAATGAGAAAAATAAGTAAATAAGTGGCTGTGTTCCATAGAAGGTTAGCCTCAAATGCTCTCTGTGGGTCAGCTCAGCTGTGTGGGACATCCTGCAGAAGCTACAGATCATACTAAGAAAGCTGCAGGCTATTAATTAGAAGTATATTTCCTACCATAATAATCTGAGAGTACTGATAAATTATAGCTAATAGATGAGCAATTTATTGTTAAACAGTACTTCCTAGAAAACCAATCCAATTTAGAACAAGCTGATTTCTCTCTTAAAACCAGGATCTCAAATAAAATTGATTTCTAAATTCATAATAGTGAAAGGGATATTCTCAGGCTTATAAGGAAAGAAGTTCCATGTACAAGAAGATGATCAGAATGTACAACAATGCCTGGCTGCAAGAGGGTTGTTAAGCATTGGTAAAGTCACACCCGCTTATCCCAGCAGCAAGCACTGTGTACTATATTCATCAGTCACTGCTCTTGGACAGATGCTTATGGAGTTCTATGCACAAGTGTATATAAAATCATTGGGAGAGCTTCCATAAATGCATATCCCTGGGTACCAACACAAGATATCCAATCACATAGGTCTCTTCTTTCATTAAATGTTTAGAACAGCTTTCAGAAATGACCATGACCAAAAATCATGTGAAAGTTTCTGAAGAACCATAATAAAGGCAGAAAAATCAGAAACATGGAGGTGCATAATGGTAGGTGGTGGAATGGAACCCTCATAAAGCCATATGACATGGGACAAAGGAAATCTCTTAGTGTCTACAAACATTCCAGCTTAAAGAGTGTTTTCTCCTTTCTCACTGTTTCTTCCCACTCCCTCCCTCTTAATGAAAATTATTATTATGCCATTTTACATCTGGACTCTGTGGCTATGGTCTATTATTTTTTTCTCATTTCATGGCACTGTTCATTTGCCTTCATGCTTACTGATGAGTCTCTGCCAGGGGGCTGCTCCTGATGGCATGCTGGCTAGCATGAAAAGCCTGGCAAGGGAAAAAAATGACCAAGCAAATTTTACTATCAGTGTTTTATTTAGAACTTGAAATGGATACAGCAATGAGTAAGCCTGCATTATGATCTTAATCCTTAACACTGAAAAAATTATTTATTATTTGAAATAATAATAATTCCATGGATTAAAAAATATATTTTCCCATAGACTCCTTCATCTGATCCTCAAACCAATTATATGATTTCTGTAAAAGATGCCCATGGTACTGCTTGGCAAGTAAAGATATGAAACACAGAGGTTTAAGGCATGTACATTTTTTGACATAAGGTAAGATGAGAAATTTCATGCCAGTTAAGACCTAGGCAAAGACTATCTAACTAAATAGAATTACATTTACAAGTCATAGAATTTCACAGTGACTGAGTTTCCTCACTTATAAAATGGGGGAAAATAACACCTATTCCCCTTGTCTTGCTGGCTTGTTCAGGTGGGTGAAAAACATATACAACAATGTATATGTTGTAATTATTTGTACTAAAATTCTTCATTTTTAAAGGACTGTTTAAAAAAAATTAACGCTGCTAATGGGGAAAATTGAGGAATTTTTGGATGGTTCAGTTACCTTTAGAACTTCAAGGATCCATGTCAGTGTGGCGCTCCTCACCTTTATTTAGCTTCTTATTTCTTTTGGTGGTTTATGGCTCAGAAGCAAACCATTCTGGTTGTGACCTTGCAGTAGAAGTAGCACAACTCATGTGTAGCATTATGGAACATCTTTATTACAATATCCATTAATGCTCAATAAATAAGAGGGGCATGGTAGGACAGTTGCTTAAGGGAACTTATTCCAGGACAGACTTACTGCTAGTTGCACTCAAATTATGAAATAGTCAAATTTCCCCAGGTGCCTAATTTCCTTCCTTCCAACCCATGATTAGTAATGGTGAGACTCCAGAGTGATAAAAATAATTCAGAAACTTTATTCAATCATAGTTTAAACTAGAAATTAGAACTAGAGTTTGCATCTCAAACCCAGACCTCAGAGAATGTTGATGTTCCATAAAGGTGAGGACCCATGTAAAAGGAAAAAATTATTAGCAGAAAAGAAGCTGAAGATTCTAGGTAAGAATAAGGATATGCTCAGCTGGTTGTCACTTCATGCTCCTTGCTTTTTCAAAGGAATGAAAACAAAGAAGACCTTTAGTATTCCTACTGCAAGAGAATGTGAAATTTGGAAAAAAGGAGAAAAGATTAAGAAAGGAAATGAAAACTGTTGCGGAAATGGAAGAATATGATTTAGTCAAATAGAGAAGCAAAGAGAAAAGAGAGAGGGGGAGGTAAAGCTGGGTCAGATAACTCACTTGGCATTCCCTGCCCCTGGCTTCTTTCTTCGGAAAATGTTGAGGAAAGTGTTGGAGCGGCAGGGCAGCTTGCCATCGCCAACATGCATGCGGACTACGTCAGAGGTGGTGAAGGCACTGCGGACATTCCTCTCAGGCTTGGCAATAATGATGTACATCTTGGGAGTGAACATGCACCCCAGGGCCACCGTTACGCTGAGGCTCACTGCAAAGCAGGTGGTGATGATCTTGTAGTTGCTCCCAAAGTAAATGGGCACAAAAGCTAGCCAGATGATGCAGGTGGTGTACATGGTGAAGGCAATATATTTGGCCTCATTGAAGTTGGCGGGCACATTGCGGGTCTTGAAGGCATAATAGGTACAGCTCATGATGAGGAGTCCATTGTAGCCCAGAGGGGCCACCACACCCAGGTTGCTGGTATTGCAGATAAGGTAGACTTCCTTGATACTTGGGTAGGACAGGATGGGCATGGGGGGCTCCATGATGATCAAGGTTACCACCAGGGTTAGCTGCACGCTAATCAGAATTGAGGCAATGATCACCTGGGCCCAGGCACTCATGAACCTGGGCTTCCGGGTGCAGATCTTCTTCTTGCTGCCAGCTAGGATGCGTGCAATTCGGTTGGTTTTGGTCACTAAAGCAGAGTAGCACATGGCAGAGGAGAGGCCAACCAGAAGGCGCTGGAGGTAGCAGGATGTGGTGGTAGGTTTGGCAATGAGAGTAAAAGGGCACACATAACCAAGGAAGATGCCAGCTAGGATAATGTAGCAGAGCTCCCGACTGGAGGATTTGACCACTGGTGTGTCTCGGTACAGCACAAAGATGAGGGTAACAAACAAGGTGACAAGTATGCCCAGACAGGAAAAGGCGATGGCTATGATGGATTCTATGTTGCTCCACTCAAGATAGCGCACAGGAATAGGTTCACAGCCTGTAATGAGAAAAATAGTTTTAATTATTTTTTAATTTTTTCTTTTCAAGCAGGCTTCATACCCAGCATGGAGCCAAGTGTGGGTTTTGAACTCACCACCCTGAGATCAAGACCTGAGCTGAGATCATGATTCAGATGCTTAACCTACTGAGGCACCCCAGCATCCCAAGAAAAATAGTTTTAAAATCCAAGATTTCTGCTGATCAATAATAACACTGCTTACTAGTTATCAGAGACATAGCTATGTTCACATCTTCCACATTTTGTGTTATTTTATTTCTTTTTTTCAAAGATTTTATTTACTTGAGAGAGAGAGTGAGAGAGCACGAGAGGGGGGAGGGTCAGAGGGAGAAGCAGACTCCCTGCTGAGTACGGAGCCTGATGCTGGACTCGATCCTGGGACTCTGGGATCATGACCTGAGCCGAAGGCAGTTGCTCAACCAACTGAGCCACCCAGGCACCCAACATTTTGTTATTTTAATTATTTTTTTTAAATGTCTCATTATTACACTAATATATATACACCATTGTCTTATCAAGACAATCGTATTCCCAAACCTGATCTCATCACAAGACTAATGTGACATACTTGAGCCTATAAAAATAATCTTTTCTCCCAACACCAGCTCCCCTCAACAAACATGATTTCTGCAAGCCAATCAGTCAGTGTCAACCTTTGCTTCTGATAATCACCCAAGTAGGAACAGACTCAAGGCAATAAACGAGATCCAGCCATTCACAAGCACAGTCTTAATGATCACAGTGGTCCCTCTCTCTTGTGTGTCAGGGGTTTAACTATGTCAAAGTCTCAACCTCTTCCTGGGAGAACTTCCGCTTCTTCTAAAAAGTCACACTTTAATCCTAAATCTTCTCATTTCCTTGCAAATTTTAGGAAGATGATTAGATAGATAATTTAGAATAAGAAGAACTATTATGGGGGGCTTTTGATAGAACATATTCAATGAATTAAAATATTTAAGAGGGGCTGTAAACAAATAAGGAGATAAAATACTGAATAGTCAATACTAAACTTTTTTAGTTGGCATCCTGAGCTCCCTAAATAAAATTCAAATTCCAATGTAGTCTTTGTCAAGGCCTTTATAATCTTCTGAAAGCTAGCCCTCTTTTCATTCCTTTTTCTATGCAACCTTACCTGGTTTTGTAAATGAGCTAGTCTGTCCTTAGAGTTTTCATTAGAAAAGAATACTACATTTTATATTTCTAGAACACAAGTCAGATCTATGGAAGTCAAATTAAAACCCTGGTCTAGAGCCAAATTAAGAGCTATAATTAATGATTTTCCTGAACTTCAGGGATACAGGCAAAATATTTTCTGTAAAATTCAGGATTTTTATTAGATGCTTATTGTCGTACACTACAGATATGTACCAATTAACTCAATTGTTAGCCTCATGGAGTAAAATGTTTAAAAGCAGCAGATTAGAAAACAGAAGATTTAAATAACTTAGTGGTATAAAGTTTAAAAAATAGAAAATGCATTACATAAGGCAATTTTGAAAGCTTTTCTTTCAACAAAGATGCAAAATTATAAACTAAATAAAAAGATAGACTTTATGACATCTGCAAACAATTCTGAGGTAGACTCAACACCTGACAAGAAAAATTATACCTTCTCTTTTTGTAAATGGGCTCAGACCTGAATTAGGGGAACGAAACAGAAGAAAATGTTAAAATGTAAAATTACTAACTTAGAAAATATCCAATATGTGATTAGACATTTCTAAATATAGTTAAAAAGTAAATAAGCCAGAAATCAATATAGTTGTGGATCTTTAGGTAAAACAACCAAAAGAGCCTCTATTCTCTATGATCTGGGAACCTGTAGATAAGGAAACCTATAGATACTTCAAACAGAAGTGTCATTTAAAGAACCAATGTCCCACATTAGCTAAAATTCAGGACTACTACTTGAAGTCTGTCCAGTGACTTAACTCCATGGCAAACACTGGTACCCAAGAACTCCTTGTCCTTCCTCTGAACTCCCAAGGGAAGCAATACCTCTTTTTTATTGATATAGGTGTCTTTATGTCCACCAGTAATCTCACTATTAAGAGAACATCAGATAAATTGGTTTAATAAAACCATAGAAATGGTGAAAATCTTTAACAATCTTATGCCCCAACCGACAACTGGTACTTTGAGATCATTATTAGAAGGATACACTATTCTCCGTGACACAAAACCCACAATTTTAATAGGTAGTATTAACTTCTAGACAAAATGTACTATGGTTCCCTACAGATGATCAAATTATAGCTACTCTAGTCATGAAAATACCTACATTATGTATAATTAAAAAAAATTATCTAAGGAATATGTTAGCCCCAGAATCCCTATGGATAAAAGACTTCACAGAAATAGGAAGATGGATTGGAACAGAGCACATAAACATATTGATTATCTTTTTTAAAAATTTTTATTGTTATGTTAATCACCATACATTACATCATCAGTTTTTGACGTAGTGTTCCATGATTCATTGTTTGTGTATAACACGCAGTGCTCCATGCAGAATATGCCCTCTTCAATACCCATCGCCAAGCCAACCCATCCTCCCACCCCCCTCCCCTCTAGAACCCTCAGTTTGTTTCTCAGAGTCCATCGTCTCTCATGGTTCCTATGTACCTAGATTATCATAAATCTTGTTTTTTTGTGTAAATATGAAAATGATACACCATAATCTAGATGTATTAACTCAACAGCATAGCACATATCAAAGAACCATTGCTCATTGTGGTAGGCTCACTGTAAAAAAAAGGTACTGAAAAGTTATAGATACTATAAAAATACTTAGAAATATAATAGAAATATTTTAGAGATTATCATGCTAAGCAGACTGCTCTGACTAAAAATCCTAACAAAAGCATCTCATATAAAACAAATAATTTATGATAGTAACAAATCCATGAAGAAGTTCAAGTATTCAATTATAGATATACAAAATGTGGCCAGAAAAGTTCTTAAAAGAAATTCCAGAAATTTCATGACTGTGTTGTAAGATTCATGAAGATAATGTCTGACGAAACCAGAATGGCTATCTGAGAGTACCAGATAAAATATCTACCAGGCATTGGCTAAAATCCTGATGGAACAAATGAAAGAATTCATTTCAGTAGGGACACATTGGCCACAAAATTAAACACTACTGGGGAAACATTTCCAGGATAGCAGATGTGGCCCGTTCATGCTTCATTTGTAATTAAATCAATTAGGACAAATTGTAAAGGTGGAGGCATTAACTGAAACAATTGCAAAAGAACCTCTGAGTTACTCCAAAGGGACTGTATACAGTTTTCTCCCTCTATGGTTTGTGAATATGTACTAGTTTAAACAGTGTGTTTATTTTGCAGATGGGTTGAAGCATTCTGTTGAAAAGCCACAATACTTACAAAGGCTAAAATATGATTAGATTTAGTGGTCTTAGCACATTCCAAGTGGTCAATCTAGTGATATGGGAACATTTTCAGTGGAACACTTATTCATGAATTTAAATTATGCAAGGCTGTCTTCATTCCCAGCCCTCTGGACAAATGAAAAGGAACCTTAATATTGGTGAAGTTTACACCCCTTAGTGATTTTAAACTGAGGTTCTGCAGAGAGCCTCCAGAAGGTGAAAGCACATGGAAGTTGACTGTTTACTGAAGAAGTTTATAGCAAGCTGATGATTATACAATGGTCTTCTGTGCAAGATCATCTGAAGAAGAGTCCTACATATATCCTATTTCCTTTGTATACTCTTTCTTACTCATACTTCTTTACTGATTTAAAACTATATAAATTTGAGTTTGTCTTTAGTGATCTCCTTACTAGTAATAAGTATTTGCCTAAACCTATGTTTTACTAGACAATCATTAACTCAATAAGTCAATTATATCAAGCTATTGTTAGGTATATCTCACTAACTTCCAATAATGATATTTTTGTATATGCAAAGATCCCGCAAGTTCAGATATTTGAAAGGACTCAGAAGATTCATAGAACATACTCATGTAATGTTTTTTACTTAAAGGCAAAATGTATAATATAGTAAGAGAAAGACAGTGCAGGTAAGCACCAAGGGGCAAAGGGATATCCCAGTGCAAGCTCTCTAAGATCCTTACTCTCACAAGGGCACACTTCATCTTTGAACCAAGAGCTCAAGGCAGAAGTTCCCAGTGAAGTCTTTTAATGACCTTCAAGTCATATGGCCAAATAAGCCTATCTAATATGCCAGCTGAAATCCATCAGTAAACAAACTGATTTTGGTTGTTACTAGTGGAGCTTCAAACTCGAAACTGCATTAATAAATATCAGTCCGCTTAATGTAGCCAAGAGCCAAAGATAGGTAGGTACTCAGGCATCTCCACAGATAATCAGAGTCATCCAAGCCTAGCTGTAAATTAAGCCTAGTCTACACAGTGTACTATACACAAATGAAGAAAAATATGCTTATGTTAGGAGATGTAAGTATTCTGTTCTGTAACAGTAGCATTATGTCAACAACACCCCAAAACAATATGCTTACAACTCTACTGTGATTGCTTTATTTCTTGTGAAGATCCTAGATTCTTTTCCCTATGGGGAAACCAGACTTTTCAATGACAGTCCAGGACCACCCAAAACAGTCACCCGAGGATAGGGACTGATCATTTATTTTGAACCAGCTTTGTTTTCTCCTTCTTTTTCTTCTTTCCTTTCCTTCTTTTTTTAGACATCCTAAATTTGAGAAGCATTAGCTTTGATTCCTTGAGAGAATTTGCTGTAAAATCCATATTGTCCATATATATAATATAATATGTAATATACTTTTTTGTCCTTTATTTGAGGTTTAAAGAGTTGTCCAACCCCCAGATGTGTTTGGGTATCACAAGCCTGGAAGGAGTGGGAGTTACCTTCAAATAGTGGTAATGACTGTCCTGGCCCTACCTGACCCCCAGCAACCAAAAGCAAAAGCCTTTATGTGAGTTGTGCATACTATATCTAAAGCCTCAAAAACAGGCACCTGGCAGTATCTGTGGTTACAGTTTTCCCAGAGAATTCATAGCTATCAGACAAGTCCATTTCCCAGAGAATCCAGAGCTATCAGACTATAAATTCCTGAGCAAAATCTAAGAGAAGTAGTAATAACTCCGATCTGAGGTACAGGAAGTTACTCCTAATTTTTTAAACAAATATTGGTTCACTTGTAAGATCCAAATGCATTGGAGGAAGCAACAATTTAATACTGGGTTTTTTCCCAATTTCCCAAGACAAATTTAATATGAATCAGGAAATAAAGTCCACAGTTATTCTACCCAAAAGGTCTTTGGACATTTAATAGCAGTTACAATAATACTTCATAATCAATAAAGCATCATCAAAGTGCTTTCTTTAATGTTATTACATTAATATCAATTATCTACAAGGAGAAATTCTGTTTCACGGTCAGTGTTCAAATTTAATGTCACCCCTGTCTATTTTTCATGTGAAGAGACTAAAAAAACAGGGTTGCCTGGGTGGCTCAGTCGTTAAGCATCTGCCTTCCACTCAGGTCATGATCCCAGGGCCCTAGGATCGAGCCCCACATCAGGCTCCCTGCTCAGCGGGAAGCCTGCTTCTCCCTCTCCTACTCCCCCTGCTTGTGTTCCCTCTCTCGCTGTGTCTCTCTGTCAAATAAATAAATAAAATCTAAAAAAAAAAGAAGTAGCAACAGATTACATATAATTGGTTCATGAATTGTTAAACTACTGTCAAGTTTTATATCGTGGCAGAAGAGATCCCTGTTTATGCATTGTAAGCAATAGAGTGAAATTTAAATGCTGAATTAAAATGTACATTTTCCCAAGAAGAAAATATGAGAATCTTATTAACAGCTTCAGAACATGCTTCCTCTAAGTAGTATACCATTTTTTTCTTTATAGCCAACAAACAATATATTCTAATGAAAACAGTAACACATTTATAAACATGTTTTTATTCATTAATATTAGAGCCTTTGGAGCATGTATGGAAAGTAACTATCTCACAAAATGATTTTATGCGTATTAACAAGCTTTACCTTCAGTAAAAAACACCATTTCCTAAAGAAGAATGATTTCTCATTTTAACTAAAATTCAGTAAAAAAAAAAAAATCCACCTATGAAAACAAAACACCTACTTAAAGGCTATGCACTTACTCCTCTGAGTATTTCTACTGGTTTTTGGTATTCTCTGCCTGTGGGTTTTCTCTTTTCTCAACTACTGCTACCATGACAACAACCAACAACACATAGCCATGTAGTGCACACTTGCTCTGAGCCTGACATGGCACCAAATGAGTGGCAAATGAGACCTCATTGTCCATTCATGTGTAAGACTGAAAGGAATCCAGAAATGACAGGTGTCATTGAAACTAAGTATAAACTAAATCAGAGATGTGTACTCCGAAAGACACTAAACATAAGATTTGCACAATAATCAAATATATGATCCAAAAGTAGCCACTTGCCTATTGCTTTTAGAAAACGGCAGTCTGAGTTGTTGCTTGGCTCAACTCATTTGAACACTAACGTGACTTTTATGCATGTGAAGGATGATAGATTAAATACTTTAGAAAGATAATCACATTAAATATCTAAGTATAGTGAAGGAGGATTTTTTTTATGCTTTACTCACTCAAAGAGCCTTAAATCAATGGTGATCATCATTTGGCAGTGGGCAAAAAATATACCCACAATGGGAGATCTCTAGGGAATAAAATATATGACTTTGAGTTCCATTATTATAACATATTGGATGTTTTGAAAATGTTTTTTGTATTTTAATGTCTTAAAATAGGATAGAAGTTCTTTACCAGGTATGAGATAAGCCCCAATCAAAGTAAAAATGGAGCAGTAGGAAAAGTTTGGGGAAGCCCAAAAAAATGTAGACAAGAGAAAAATTCTTACACCTCAAAGCCAGGACTTCTGATTTCTAAAATCAACCTGAGAAAGGCTAGCTTTGTCTTTGAGCCCTTCGCAGTCAGCTGTAGTCTCAGTCAAATAGCAGAGAGGACTGACTAGTAAGTCAACCCCCTATTTGATATAAAAAGGCCCAGCAGGAAGCACACAGTATGAAGGAGGATAAAGATATGAACAGAGGCATAGCATGAGTGGGAGAGAAGCCTTGTTGTCCAAAAGTGGCTGAAAAAGCTTTTCCAAGCCAGTCTATTGCATGCAACCAGGAGATAAGTTAGACCCAGGGATAAAAACCCTGGATTCTCATAGTGGCTTCTCTATTAACCAAATGCACTGACCTGGATGAACTCAGAAGTCCCTTCTTCTTTCTATTTCTCTCAATAGAACATTTAATCGACAGCTATTATATTCAAGGCACTAGACTATGAGCCAGAGATTAATTTTTCTCACAGGATGCGACAGGAACCAGGTGCCTCAGAATTTGCTTGGTCCCATCTCAGAACTAGTGAACAGGATCTCTGCAAGTGGGTAATACCTGGGTAATTTTTAGGCATATTAAAGTTGAAAACCAGTTTTCTGCGACAGAATAAAAATATGAGTGAGATACAGTTTTTATCTTCAAATGTATTCTAATCTAACTTCCTTTTCTTTAAAAAAGGTCTTTGTACTATATAATTTCTAAAAGCTTTCTGACACTCATTTTAGATTAACTTTTTCTAACAAGATTACCATTTTACAAGGTACTTTCACTGAATAAGTAAAATTTTCATTATGTGACCTGGTTCTATTTACCCAGCCGTTTTTGATGTGTTCTGAATAAGTCATACAATTTTTTAGTTGCTATTCTTATTTGGGAACAGGTGAAAAAGTAAAAAACAATCAGAAATGTTTCCTAATTATTTTCAACAACACCCAGGGAGGCAGAGGATCAGGAGTCAGTGAACTGGGCTTTGCTTCTATTTGCATGACCTTGGGCACACAAGTACAACTCTTTGGGCCTCAGCTTCCCTTTCTAAAAGGAGGGATGAGATTACTCACATGACAAAGTCTCTATGTACTCAGATGACAGTTTCTACGTCTCTATTACTCTTAAAATTTGTGAAAAGTATTTGTGAAACACCTCTCATGTGTGAGTTCATATCAGGATCCATGGAAAACAAAATTCATATATTTGAACATTGCTCTTATGAAATTTACAAACTCATATAATCCATCCATATGATACCCATTGATTTTACTAGTAAACCATCTCTTGCATTCATATACTCATCCATTCCTGCTGCAGCTGCCTTCATCCATGCCCTCTGAAATTACTCACTTGAACCAGTGCAATAGTTCCTAGCTTCTATTTTTCATCTGGTCTCACTACACTCCTCAGACTGCTAGTAGGAGCATCTTTCTGAGACACAAATATCATGGCGTTATTTGCTAATTTAAATTCTTCAATGGTTCTCCTGTGCTTAAAGCCACAGTCCAAACCCTCAGGAAAACGTCATGCAGAAGCTTGTTACCAACTCTACCAGTCTCATTTCTGGTCTTTGCTAGGTCCTTGTGTCTACCAACCAACCCCATACACTTATTTTGTGGTTTTCCCCAAATGTGTTACAGGCTTTCATTTTCCCATCTTCTATTTTTTCTCTGGAATTTCATCTCTTTATCTGCCTAACAAATTTTATGCACTATAAATATCTCTTTTATATTAATAACAATTTTATATTATTTTTACATGTTTCTTCCCTGGTAAGTTTTAAGCAAAATAAAGTAATAAAGCAATATAAATTTAAAGCAAAAAAGAATACTGCCTCACACATAGATGTTCGAGAAATGTTTGCAAATATAAATGCAGGTAACTAGAAATATCTTCAAATAAAATTTTAAAAAAGAAAAACAGAAAACAACTCATACACCAGAATACCCCTTTAATACACTTTTATTTAGATTTAAAAAAAATACATGTTCATAATAAAAAGAAATTCTTTTTAAATGAACTTGCCTTTCAATATGGATCATGGAAAACTTATAAGAGGGTTCTGTGTGCTCTTTGACATGAGCAATAAAAAGTCCTCACTGTAAATAAACATCAAAAAAGACATGAGCTGCTCGCTCACATTTTAAACAATGGGCATATTGAGAAGGCCCATACTTAGGGACAAGGTCTGAAGTGAGGCACTTCCTACCTGTTAGATCTGCACTGGGCCACCACCCCAAGTCACAGGCTTTGCAGGTGAATTCATCTTGCACATATTCATTCTCTTTGCAGGCCGTGCAAATCCAGCAGCAACTCACTTCTCCTTTCCGTATGACCTGTAACACAGGGATAGTCCATATGCCTTAAAGATGGTCTCCCCAGAAAGTCTTCTATTTCAATATGGAGTTGTTTTCATACTACAATAAGAAAAGAATGATTCTTCAAAATATCCTATATGCCGAGGAACCTTAAGTACATGCATTCGAATATACCTGATTATCTTTAGAGTTCAGATATGAATTTCAATTCATTCCATGCTGGGTTTGGAGGTTTTTCAAAAATAATGTCTTTCATAAAGGGAATTGATGACATTATCTTTTTCAGAGTTAAAAAAAATGAAACCGTTGAATTTTATTATTTATACTCATTTGTATTATCCTCAGAAAAATAAAAAGAAATTTTTCTTCTCTAAAAGAGCAATGTTTAACCACAAAAGTTCTTATGTAATATTTTCTCATTAATTCATAAAATCTGAGGAATTATGGAATTTTATAATTATGAAAGTCTGAGCAACTTTATATACATAAAAACAGAATGATGGCTATGAAAGTCAACCCTATTATTGGCCCTGTGACTTGCTCTGGTGAACTTAAAACATTATGTAACTTGTTGGAAGAAAAATTACTAGTCCAAAATTACTGAAGAATCATACATTATTGGAGTAGTTTAAACTTTCTCCCATTTTCAATCTGTTTGTTAAGCATATTTCGCTTGACAGGATACCAAAAAAAGTCAAAACATTTAAAGTGATTTTCTTGAAAGCAGCAAGTATTAGATCTTGTGTTCATCTCCAGTCTGAGAACTTTTGCCTTTTATTGAAGTGTTTCATACATTTACATTTAGTATAATCATTGGTGTGGTTGGAAATGAAAATTTAACCAGATGCTGGACATTGTGTACATAAGGTATAGTGTGCTGGATGTTTTTCCTTGAAGTATTGGCCTTTGTTCCAGCAGGCAGCTAACGGCTTGTGAGCATTGTTTTTAATCTTTTAGGACAAGTCTAGAAGAGTCTCTACTCTAGGAATAATTAAGCCTCATTATTAAGGTGTGACCACCTGGGGTTTCTACTTAATTCCTTGTGTATTCAACAAGGTATCTCCACTCCGGCTTGTGGAAAATGAGACCATTCTTGGATCTGCATAAGCTCAGGGATTCCAGCTCCCCAGTCATTTTTTTTTTCACCTGAACTTTTTGAATTCTGCCCTATTCATGTGCAGACTTGTGTTCAGTTAAATGCTTAAGAGAACCTGTATGCTAACTTCTAGGACATTTTTTCTCAATAGTTCTATCCCTTACACTACACAACAAATTCTCACTGCCATGGCCTTCCTAAACTTTGATTTCTGTCTTCTTAAATTATCAAGATCACCAAGCTCTGTGTTCTCTTTCACTGAACAACAACAAGGAAATTGCCTCCAGGCAGAAAGCCTGAGTGATTTTAGGGTTCACCTTATTTATTTGCCTTCACTTCCCTGGAATCAAGGTCATGCACTGTTTTCCAATGCCTGAACACAGTTATTTCATATATTATGTCAAGTTTTGTAGTTGTTTACACCAAAAGGCAGTCTGGGCTCTGTTACTCTTTCATGGCTAGAAGCACAAGTTCTTCCCTAATACATTAAACAGTATTAAATGTTTTCATATGCAAAATTAGAAATTAAATTTTAAACATTGCCATACCTTAAAATCATACGAACTTTAGACTTTGTGAAAATAAAACTATCTTCTCACAGAGTAGGTCAAAATTTATACCCCTATCTTTGAATTACATATAAAATATCAAATGACAGTATATTTTCAGAAAATGTAAAAGGTTTTCTTTTTCTTCTTTTACTTTCAGATAACTTCAGAAAGTAAAATCAAATTAAGTCTTTTTTAAAAAACTCCCTGCAACCTCAAAATAAGCATGGGAAATTTACATTCCAGATAATAATTTTTTAAGTGATATGAGAAAAATTGAGTAAATGAATACTGCTTTCTTATTTTATTTGGCATAAAAGTACAGTAAAAGCCATCACAAAATACTGTATATCCCATTAGTCAGCTTTGTCTCTTTCTCTTTACTATAAAAATAATGCTACTAATTCAACAAATTTAAAAGGTGGTAATGCTAAACAAATTGATTTATGCAGGATGAATAGTGAGGGTAGATCCTGTGAGTAACTGGCACTTGGAAAGTATTTAAAATTAGGTTTTCTATGACTGAATAAATGATTAGCCTATCCCTTTAATAAATAATGAAAATGGAGCTGCTTAAATAGAGTTATATTTTATGACTCCTTCTTTATTCTGCCACCAAGTATGTGTACTTTTGGCATACACATCTATAATATCTGGTCTTTTTTTTTTTTTTTTAGAGAGGGTGGGGAGGGTCAGAGGGAGAGAGAGAGAATCTTAAGCAGGCTCCATGCCCAGTGCAGAGCCCAATGGGGGGCTCTTTCTCACAATCCTGAGATCATGATCTGAGCCAAAATCAAGAGTCAGATGCTTAACTGATTGAGCCACCCAGGAGCCCCTGACTTGTCTTTTCCATCTCTCAGTCACCCCTCTAGACTGCGGTTTTATTATTTTACACCTGAATTCTGGTCCTTGTCTCCTAATCATATAACATGCTCTAATTTCTTCTTGCACTAGAGTAACATGCATACAGCTGCCACGATCACCCAAATAGGCCAGGGCTCCTCAAGAGAAGGGACCAAGCTGACTTTCATCGTTTTCAGATCATAGTCATCAAAGGACAGATATGTACCAAAAACACACAGTAGGCAGCCAATGGATGGGTAGTGAATAAATCTTTTTTAAAAAAACTACAATTAGGCCACTCAAAGAACTTTAGTGCTGCCCTGCTCCAATACCTTTGCAATATAAGCTCTTCAGTCAGGCATTCACTTAGTCCCTGGTCCTTGTTCCTGCACCTTACTTTGTCTGTTATTAATTTCTTACATAAGTCTGCCAAATGAGGACAGAGCCTCTGTGCCAGCCAGCCCCTCATTGTGTCTTCATTAATGTCCACATAACTGTTTGTTTTATTTGTTTCGGAGGGAGGTTTCAAGTACAGTAGAGACATCATTGAATTTGTGTTTCATCTGACTTGCTTTCTATAAGGAGTATTCTGGCTGCTATTGGAGAACAGAGTTTATTTTTATTTGTTTATTTATTTTTTTGGAGAACAGAGTTTAAAGAGAGAGAGAGAGAAAAGAAAGAATGTGTGTGTGTGCATTTTATATGTGTGTGTTTTAATCCATGGTCCTCACATGTAACCATATAGTAAACAAATAAATATGTTTTAATGAAAGAATGACTATTACCTTCCATTTAGAATGTCATCTTTTCTCCATCAGTCCATCTGTGTCACTATTTTCAAGGGCAGATACATCACAAGCTCCAGACAGTATTTCTGAAGCAGTAAATGCTTTCAAACATTGCCTTATTTATAATTCTCTAGTAGCTAAAATACAGTTGGTCTTTTATTACTACAAGCTAGATTTTGTCCTCTAATTTTTTCATATCCATATAATAGATATGTTTCTTTCAGATACAGTTCTTTTTAATTCTTGTTATTGTCTCTAATTTATATCCAAATCTTCCCAATAGCATATTATTATTTTTATATTTTCTGTATTTTTATATGAGTCATGCTTACTGATATTTCTTTTGTATGTATAGTGGCCCCTCCTGATCCATGGTCAGTCTTTGTCCAGAAGCATATGATCCTCCTGACATATTATCAGGAGGTCAATAGTAGCCTGACACTACATCACGGTGCCTACCTACATCATTCACCTCACTTTATCTCATCACATAGGCATTTTATCATCGCACATCATCACAGGAAGAAGGGTGAATACAGTATAATAAGATATTTTGAAAGAGAGAGAGACCACATTCACATAACTTTTATTACAGGATATTGTTATAATTATTACATGTCATTATTAGTTACTGTTGTTAATCTCTTACTGTACCTAATTTATAAATCGAACTTTATCATAGTTATGTTAACCTAGGAGAAAACATAGTATATATCAGGTTTGATACTATCTGTGGTTTTAGGAGGAGGGTGTCTTGGAACATAGCCTCAAGTAAGAGGGGACTACTATTGTATATATTCAATAACTGAATAAAGGATTTTTTCACTTTTGTCACAAGCAAACACTTTTTATGATAGCTCTGAGTCACAATAACAGTTTTGATATTGTACTGAAACTGCCCTTGAAGGACCAAGGCTTACTAAGGCCCAGAACCTGCTTTGATTCTTGTTATGTCCTGTGTACACGGTGCTGTTTATTGTTAGTGAGACCAGGTGAGCTGCTGGTACACACAATGCCATGATTCAATTACACAGACCCTGTAGGAGTCTTAAAGTATTTATGCAAGGAAATCAAGTGTTCGTTTTGTGACTAAGTTTCTGAAGTAACCTGAAATGGATTTTTTAAATTAAGATTTTATTTAGAAAAAGAATATGGGCACCTGGGTGGCTCAGTTGGTTAAGTGTCTGACTTGATTTCTGCTCAGGTCTTGATCTCAGGGTCGTGAGATAGAGCCCCTTGTCAGGCTCCAGACTCCGTGGGGAGTCTTCTTGAGATTCTCTCCCGCTGCCCCTCCCTCTGCTTCTCCCCTAACATGCATGCATGCTCTCTCTCAAATAAATAAATCTTAAAAAAAAGAATGAAAGAAAATAAATAGCACCAAGAGAATATAATGAAGGAAAGGTAACTGTGAATCAGAGGAAACAGAGAAAATTTTCTTCAGAAGAGAAACGTCTGAAAGACTAAACAGAATAAAGAAACAGAGTCTACTCTAATTAGGGCTGTTGGAGAATCAGCTGCATGAGAGAAGAGTTAGCGCTGCCCTCCTCTGTTCCTACCATGTCCTGTAGGAGAGCTGGGGCAACAGTCAACTTGAATAAGGATGTTTTTCTCTCACTGCACTGAGTTCCTCAAAGGAAGGGGCCATGTTTAAGTTTCCTTTGCATTCCCGGCACTAGTGAAGTATGGAAGCTGAAGGGACTCCATTTTAGAAAAACTCCATCTCTGCTGTTTTTTTTCTGGGCCTCTTTTACTCATGTTCCATATTTTGCCTCTAAATAACCGAAGCTCTGTTCTCATTTCAAGGGGGAAATAAGAAAGTTAATCATTCTCTGAATTTTGTTCTAGGCCCCAAATCCCCAATAACAACTAAGAAAAGCCAGATCCCAAACATGTTCCAGGACATTCGCTTCAAACAAACCTCGGCTGATACCGTCATCAATAGTTTTAGCTTCGCTAATTTATGGAATAACACCTGTTGTTCACCTGACATGCACCTCGATTTGACCCTACCCTGGATTTCTGAAGAAACATGTACCCTAGATCCTTTTCTAATATAAACCTCTAGCCCCAAACAACGACAAGACTCATTCTCCCTTCCTTTCCAAGTCTCCCAGATACTCTGCTATTCTCTGTCACTCACGCTATTCAATAAACTCTTCTTCCACTTTCTCTGGCTCCTGGTTTGTTTTGTTTTGTTTTTTTCATGTTTGATTTCTATCCTGTGCCAAGCCAAGGGCCCTCTTGGCTGGTCTTGTGGGACCCTCCCCTGGGTCCTCAGACCCAGCCTGCCTACATCACTAGCCTGGTTCTTGGCACATATTAATTACTCAATAACGTAGATGGAAGAAAAGAGGAAAATAATATAGACTATGACATAAACAGAAGCAATGGAAATGAATTCAAAGAGAATGAAAAATAAGAGTAAAATGGAGAAAACCTTACAAAAACTAAATAAAAAAATACCAATGAAAAAAAATCCCCACATTGTAATTTATTATAAGGAAAATGTAATAAAAATGGTATACGAATATAAAATCATCACAAGAGCAGACATATATTGAACCAGGCTACGTGCTAGGACCTCTGTACAGAATTACACTAACCCTTCACAACTGCTCCAGGGGATGGAGTTAATTATGTGTGTTCTGCAAATGAGGAAGTCACTGCAGAAGGGATCCATATCTTGTGCAAATCTCAGTAATGTTATCTTCAGTTATTTCCAAAAGCTAGGCTCTTCCCAGTGTCACAGTGGCTGCCAGGGTAATGACATATTTTTCTGAGAACCAAAATTATATCTCAGAGGTTGGTAGATATATACTCAATTAATCAACCTTTGTTTAGTGGCCCAGTGAGCTAGACATGGTGCTATGCATGGGATAAATTTTTGAAAAACCCGATTGTTAAGGCTAAAGAGCTCAAAATCTATTGTAATGTGTTACTGTAGCACTTAGGGGCCACATTTAAAGATGCACTCTCCCTCAGGGTTGTGTAAGTATGCACCCTGCACTTGCACAACCTTGAGTGAGTGCCTCCTTAAATTCTTATACTTCAATAAATGTTTACTTACAAAAACAAATGGGTCCTGTTTCTGCCACTGTCACTGTCCAATATCATGTGATTAGCCCCAGTACCTATCAGGACTCATCCCCAAAAACTGGCAGGCTGGGTCTGAAGCTAGGGTGTTCGCCAAGAACTTCAGTAAACATGTGATCAGCATAGACTCTGGTCAACGTATGAGAGGCAAAGATATAGGTATTACTCAAAGTGGCTGTGGATAAATTAATAATTCCAACGAATTTCTCATTATGACTAGGGCGTGCAGAGTTTCCTCCTCAACCAGAGGGATTATAGTAATTTCATGTTTTCACATGCACAATAAGATACAAAAAAAAAAGTATTTTATCTTCATTTTTTTAAAAAATTGTAGCCAATATGTTTTTATCACTGGAGCAGATCATATCATTGTTATGTAATCACAGCCTTCTCAGATAGAATTTTTTTATATATATATTCCTGTGGGCAATTTATATTCAGATCTTGCCATCCTGCAGTGGAATTTAGAAAGTATTATATAATGGACAAACCGTATCATCATTTCACTGGTTGCCAAAATGGCTACATTAACTATGAACAGTTTAAGTGGGTAGTTTGCTTTGATTCACAAGAGAAAGAGAAAGCAGAGGTGGATGGGACAGTTATGGCTGATGATGTTATTGCTAACTTCTTAGCTCGGCTCACGGTTGTATGAGAAAAATCTTATTCTGAGAAAACACAAGCTGACGTATTAAGGTATGGAGTTTCATATTTGTACCTCACTTTCAAATGGCTCAGGGAGAACACAACAGAAAGAAAAAGAGAGAGGAGGGTAAAGAAATTAAGAGAAGGGTGAGGGGAGAGAAAATACAGTGAAGGATTCACAGTTACTGAATGTAGTTGGTGGCTGTATGAGTGGTCAATTTAATGTGTTTTTTCATGTTTGAAAGTGAGGAAAAAATGTGGGAAGTATTAACTAGATCAAAATTATGAGCAAATAGGGAGAAAGTTGAACAAAAATAAAAATACTCATTAGAGATATGGGAAGTATCCAAAGAGAATTCACTGTTAGTAGGCATGAGATAACTTCAAAAAATCTCTGAAAGCTCCAGGCAGATGTAAAGAATTACATCCAGAGTGGGTGGTGGGGTCAGGCCATGACACACCCGTGCAAGCCACGTAGTGACCAGAGAGTAATGACTGTTTGCACTGTGGGAACATTTGCTCGAGGTAGATGTCAGTCTAAAATGATTCTCTTGCCACGAAATTCAAGACAAAATTCCTCTTCCTACTGCCATGGAGGGAAGACAGCATATCCAAGCAATTTCGAAGCACATGCACAGGAGGAGAATGAAACTATTCCAAAT